GATAGGAAAACTGGGTGTGGAGGGGGGTAATGATTGGGTGAAGAAAGGCGAGGAGGAGGGAAAGAAAGAAGGAGGTGGGGGGGGAGGACTGTTGTGTTGTGTAGGGTCTAGAACCCACAAATCAAGCAGTGATTGGTCCCTTCACTCAGCGTCTCTGGAATGTTCCAGTCTATAGCACCTGCAGGGAGTGGGAAACAAGTCCTGCCAAACACTGCAGGAATTCAAGGGGGGAGGGAGGGAGGGTAGAGGAGGTGGCTATTTTCTGCATCAGCTGGTAATCAGATTAAAATTAATTATGAAATATGGAAAGTAAATATCTGATAAAATAGGGCAAACTATCTGATTAGACTAAATAATACGGCGACACTGAGTACTCGTAGATGTAAGAGTGAGTGGTCGAGTGGCAATACAGGCAAAGATTCTTTGGGTTTATTTGACAGAAGTCAGTGAATTTTCCTGTTATTCCAGATCATTTCATGAGCACAAACCTTAAACTTCTGCAACTGCAACCAGAACTCACAAAACTTATTAACAAATCCTAACTTATCGACATTATAAATTGGAACCTATGGAACCGGATTCGACCAAATGACAAAAACGTTGTTTAATTTTTCGTGTGTGGGTGTCGGCGTTGGGTTTTTGTTTGAGAATGATGCGCTTTTTTCGGAGAAAAAAAATCTGAATTCTGAGTTTGAATCGGAATATGATTTAAGTTAAAAATTTAGAAACAAAAGTCGTAATTCTGAGAGAAAACACTGTAATTTTCAAGTTTTCGTCCAGAATTCTGAAATTTAAATAAAAATTCTGGAGGACAGTAAGAACAATGAGGAGTCAGACTTCTAACTTTTCTCAAAATTCAGAAAAAAAAACTTCACGACCCAAAAATGCTTTTACTCAGAATTCTTCAGTAAGTAAAACGTTTTCTTTCAAGCATGACTCAGATCACCAAAGTCAAAAATGTTCTTTATGCCAGAATAAATACATTAAATTGTAAATTTAACAACACCTAAGAGTTTCATCATCTCATCTGTCTGAGACTCAGTGGTCCATACAAATGTGCTCAGCTGGGTCAAAACAAATCTAAAGAGTTGATTTCTCGATGATTTCCAAATCACTTGCTCTAGTTTTTCTGGACTCCCTGCTTTCAGTCCCATCATAACGCCTCCCCTCTCCTCACCATTCTTCCTCACTCCTGTGGGATGTTTCCCTTGTGCCAACAGTAGCGTCAGTTCTTACAAACCAGAAACCATGCAGAAGCTCCAACAGAAGGTCTTTCTTTCTCTATGTGTTCACTAAGTGGTAAAATAATTTATAAATACACCAACCAGTCTACTTAAACTACATAAGCTAGCAAACCAAAACCAATGTTACAACTCAAGCCGCTACCAGACGTACTTCTTTTGACTGACAGCATAACGGACAGGTGTAGACACCGTGACCAATCACCCATTGGCTAGTGAAGTGTCCTTTTGAAGCCTCGAGCTGAGTGTGCCTCAAAAACATGTCAGAATGTGTGACAACAGCTAAAATCCCCCTTAACTTTAACTTTAGGTGGCTAAAGCATAATTATGGTTAACATCGGCCGTGCCTGAAATAATTCACTCATGACTTCATTTGCAAAATATTTAAAATTTCAGACAGGATTCATTTTCTTGGCACTGTTGGTTTTATCATTGCAGACACACAGTGATAAGTCAGATAAGTAAATGAATGCCGACATGAACTTTTGTCATAAATACTATACAAAGTTAACGACACCTTTAAGTGCACTATAGGTTAAAGCAACACTTGCTAAAAGTTTGGACAGCACTTCAAAATGGCCAACTCACTATATGGTGAGTAGGATCACACAGAAGCTGTAGCCTTCTTTGTATTCTACCTTGATGCGAATCTTGTGTTGCATCAAATCCTTTGCACTTGTTATTTTTCCTTTCAGAGTGTCTACTGCTACTATATTGTACAACTACAACATGCTAACTTATACTAGTACTACATATGCCCAGATAAGATTCCAAATAACTAAGAGTTGGGCTTCTGCAAGTAATGCATTCACCCTAAACTTGGGCTATCTTCTCGCTCTGTGCCATTGAGAGATAAACAAGTGTTTGCTTTTATCTGATGACGCTGACATCACCTGACAAACACCTTCCTGCACTCAGTGGTGCAGAGACAGGAATGAACTTCATATTTTAATTCATCCCAAAACAAACTTTAGCTACCACAGCGGTACCCAAAGACTTAGCTACCATGGTTATAAAAGGCAAGACCACCCAATGAAGTCATCTGTCACTCACTCAGTCACCAACTCACACACACACACATACACAACACAAAACAACAGGGAGGCGGGAAGTGGGTGGAGGAGTCAATTCAAAGTCAGTGCAGCTCCATCAGCTGATTCCTTTTGGGATACAGGAGGCTTTCTGCCGCTGAATCACTTTAATGTCAGTCGGTCTTTGCTGAAGCACAACCTGAGCGGCATTTCCTGCGACTCCCTCAGCTGGGAGAGCTCAAGATCAAACTGCATGTAATTACTGCGTTATAGCACTTTTTTACTTTTTTACTTTTTTCCTTCGTCCTTCTACTAAAGACAGTGAGCAAACCTTTAGAGGCCAGCCTGATCCTCTCCAGCATGACAAAGTCAAACACATTTTAAATGCTCCTGCCCAGCGATATCTACACAATGATCTGATATTTTGTCAGTTGTGGAGACTATGTGCTGTATTTTCAAAAGACCAATTTTGACCTCTGACATCATCAAACAGCGCCGCTGCTCTTTCTTATTCTAATTTTTATTGTAATGGTTTCGGCGCTCCTTTCATTCACAGCTTAATCAGCTTCTTTACAGATGACTGGTGTGAACCTGAGTAAACTATCATTTCCACTTCTGTTTATTTGATTGTTTGCTTTTCCACCAATGTCAAGAAGATGGAATTAAGGAATGCAAGACCCCAACTTCTCATTTACTCCTGTAGGACATACAGCCCTGTATCCAGCTTTAGACCAACTAATTTCTAAGGATTTCCAACTGGTTTTTAACAGGTTTATGCAGCTGTGAGATAAGAAAATTATCTCACCTTATGAAGGATACCACTTCTTCCCACATTTCCTCCATTTATAAGAAGTTCTAAATGTTTAATATCTAGTTGTTTAAGCAAAATGATGCAACTTGAAGGTTATTATGGTTTTTATCTGTGTTGATATCACTTCATGTGTTACAAAAATGCAAAACACATCTGTAAAACTGCTGATAAATCATAGAGATACACTGATTGTTAAATGTTTACATATCTTGATATTTAAAGCAGCATTGTGTTGTTTTATTTTGCTGTTAATCCTGTTTGTTACAGTATGTGTTCCTTTCTGTAGCAAGAGGACAACAACGAAACAGCTATTTTGACGTCTATAAGCTCTTCACCTGTCTTTGAACTTTTAGCCCCCACAACATTTCCACCACACACCAGATAAACATCACTGTATGGATAAGTGCACACCATAATCTAATTTTAAAACAGTAAACGAACGCAGTAGAGATGCAGTCCTAACAAATACTGCACAATACTGAACACTTTAGGAAAAATAATTATACTAGAAGTATTTTTAAGACGTTTGTAACTTTAGGTATTTTATAGGAGATACAAATCAAATTTTAAATAGTACATAACTTAGTAGAGTAACAGAAAAACCTTTACATCGTACGTTGTAGGTATGCTGTAGAATTAGGGGTGTGGGCCATATCATGTAGTGGATTAACCTTGGGGGTTTTTTATTTTCCACTTTTATTATGCATTAAATAGGTGTGCATCATGGATGTTTGACAGGGCGTGGAACGATGTGTTATAAGATCACTTGGGCCCAAAGCCTGCAGTTTTTGCTTGCTGTTTAATTTTTCTTGTAAGCAGAAAAGAGAGAGAGCTGTCCTCATCACATTTTTATATTTAATATAAGAGGACAACTGAATAGTAAAGCACTAATGATGCACAGAAATTTAATACATAAGTAAATGTAAAAAGGCAAGGTTAAAAGATTAGAAACCCCCCCCCACACACACACACACACACACTGCAGTTTCAGATAAAATGCACTTCAGCTATTTATTTGCACTATTTGTATTCATATGTTATATTTCTATTGTATATATTAACCGGCATCTGTTGGTGGACAGCAAAGAAAGAATTTCATTGCACAAAGAAAAGCCTTTTCTCTTGTGACACGTGACAATAAACACTTTGAATCTTTGAATCTTGAATATAATTTTCCATTCTCCTCTAGAGGAATTGCACCCTATTTTGCGAACCTTATTATAAAGTGCAACTGAAATGATTAATAGACAGAAACAAAGTGGGCCTGAAGTACCAAAGCCCTCCACTATTTTCAATCCCCTCTGCAGAACCTCATCAACTGAGCAGAAAGGTGTGGCTTGGAAACTTAGTGATATCCTCCTAATTCTTAATATTCATCAGCGGGGCGGGCTTTGAATTGCAAATAACTGCGAGCGGGCCCACTCAAATATGAACTGGGTTTTTTTTCGATGCAAAAATGTGGACTCCAGCTCAAAGCTTAAAAAAGGGACCCACATACCGTGCAGTGTCTGGCACAAACGGTGCAACAAGCTCGTCTGCAAATGTTATTTACTTTAAATGACAATAACAAATAGCACTGAAAGACTGACTCTATTTAATAAATACAGTTTTTTAGAAAAAATATAATAGAAATGTATAAAAGTATCACCATATGTCTCAGGCAGAGGCCATGCACAGCATGGATGACCTGCGTGTCGGCGATGTATGACAGTAACTTTGTAACACTGTAAGTCAAGCAGCTATCGCACTTGTTTTTAACGAGACACCAAGCTCCCCATTTTGGTCACAGCTCAGCTGCTCTTTCACGAAACACAGCTCCATCTAAATCGGGTGTTTAAGAGTTTCATCTGCGCTAAATAAACCAAGCGGGGATCCTCTCCACCTGAGGAAGTGTCACAGTAAACGAAAGGGACTTACTCCGAGTGCAGACCTCGCCGCGAAGGTCAACGCGATCACACAAATCCTGCAAAACAAAAATAAGTCTTTTAGTTATTTCCCTCCGAACTTATTAGTCGACAGGTACAGCAGCGGCAGAGGCAGCCTGCAAAGCCGAAAATTAACTTTGCAGAAATACGTTTACAGAGCCGTTTTAAAAAGAAATCAAAAAATAAACCCTTACAGGACTTTCATATTGATCCGACTGGCGGAAGGTGGGGACCACAGGTAGAGCTCGATCCCCTTATCTTCACCAGAAAGGCACCGCTTCAAACGCGCTCATCGACGGCTCCAAAAAACCCCTGTCATCTACCGGAGACAGAGAGAGAGAAGCAGTCCTACTGACCCCGATTTTACCACATAAAGCTCCAAGCATTAACAGCCAGCCAGCGTTGAAATCACACGTTTTGTTGGCGATTTCTTTCATAAAAATCAGAGCTTGTCCAACTCACCCAAGTTTCAGCGGTGCAGTCGCTGCTGCGTACTGGTGCGCTTCAACTCAGCAGCCTCAGCGAAGAGGAGGGGCCAGCACATGCCTCCATGCCTCTGACTGCCACCGAGGTACCCCCACATACCAAGTACGGTTCGGACCAGCAAAGGAGGCACAGCGGTGTAAAGCAAGTCTGCAGTCCAGGTTTTAATCAGTGAAAAAGCAACAACATACAGAAGTTCTTTCAAAGACTTTTATTCCACATAAAAACAAAACCCCACCGTTGTTAGCGCTCAGGTGGTTACTGAAGTTTAAAATGACCTTAGGACACTTTATGCAAAATTAGTCCCCAAAGAATCAACATGATGGATCTTAAAATTCATAACTGTGTTTTCATACCATTGACCCAAACACCCTCCTTATGATACATTTAAAAACTTTAACCGCAGATCAGTGTTAGGGATCACGTGTACTTTGCCCTGATCTCTGCTAATGCATAAAACTTCTTGAATTAAGCAGAGTACTCTTTAAGCTTTGCAACACCGTGTTCTCCCTAGAGGGGCTATAAAATCCTTTACTACAGTGCATTATCTTAAATTTTTGTGTCTTGTGTTTCTGGCATAGACTTTTCTGCAGCTTGTTTAGCTGCGGAGCACCACAGGGATCCTAACTAGGTCCTCTTCAGTTTTGGACTTGCTATATAGTTTTTATTCATATGTTTATTTTCTACAGTCCCTTTTTCAATCCTAACCATAAACCCAGTAGAGCTTTCAAAGTTTTTAGAAAGTTACACAACGTATTTCATATTTTAAGATGAGAAAATGTTAAGTCCAACTTGTGATTAAATGACTTTTAAATAATACAAAAATGCAAGAATCACTTCAACTGTGATGCTTTAAAAATTCACAATAAAATCCTCCCAAAAGGTGCACCTTTAAATTATTCCACTGCAGGTCTTGATTCTGGTTTCTTTCACTCCAGTGATTGTAACATAGATAGTGTAATATTGCAAAGGTTGGATGCTGAGATGATTGCTTACTGTGATTATGTGTGCTTATCAGTCCCAGTGTGTGCACATACAGTTTGATCACACAGTAACTTCAGCAGCATGTGTTCATATAAGTTCATGCAACAGTCTATATGCTTCACACCACATTTAGAGGAAGGCGCGTGTGAAACGAGACAACAGGTACGTTTTTATAGGAAGGAGGTTTTATTCTGTACTATTCTACTAGCAGCTTTCCTTCGTTGGGAGAAAGTGACCTGTAATAAAGTGGCAGGAATGTAACGTGCCGGGGCCTAAGGAAAAGAAAAGAAAAGGTTTAAAGTCAAACTCACAGCCTCGAGCGGTGGTCTGGAGTCAGGAGAAAGAATATCCATCCGCGAGGTTCAAACATAATGATTATTTACAGCATACTTTAACACGCGATACACTTTTGGGCATTTGGACCTTCGTGGCTCACACTTACGACCAGATCTTGTTTCGCAAATCACCCCAAAT